CCAACCTTCTAGATCAGCTCCAACAACCTATATTAATACACTTGACAAATCCAAATGCGCATACTAATTCCCTTCTCAGCTCCAACAACCCGTATCCCCAACCCCCTTCTCAGTTCCAACATCCTATATTCCAACCTTCTGGATCAGCTCCAACAGCCTATATTAATACACTTGTCAAATCCAAATGCGCATACTAATTCCCTTCTCAGCTCCAACAACCCGTATCCCCAACCCCCTTCTCAGCTCCAACATCCTATATTCCAACCTTCTAGATCAGCTCCAACAACCTATATTAATACACTTGTCAAATCCAAATGCGCATACTACTCCCTTCTCAGCTCCAACAACCCGTATCCCCTCCTTCTCAGCTCCAACATCCTGTATTCCATCCCTCTAGATCAGCTCCAACAACCTATATTAATATCCTTGTCGGTCTCAGTTTCCATACTGTATTCCTTCTCAGCTCCAACAGCCTGTATTCCTCCCTTCTCAGCTCCAAACAGCCTGTATTCCTCCCTTCTCAGTATCCAACAGCCTGTATTCCTCCCTTCTCAGCTCAAACAGCCTGTTTTCCATCCCTACTTAGACCCAAAAGCATATATTCCTCCCCTACTCAGCACTTAACAGCCCATATCCGTCCTGGTCTCAGTTTCCAATAGCCTGTATTCCTCCCCTTCTCAGTTCCAACAGCCTGTATTCCTCCCCTTCTCAGCTCCAACAGCCTGTATTCCTCCCCTTCTCAGTTCCAACAGCCTGTATTCCTCCCCTTCTCAGCTCCAACAGCCTGTATTCCTCCCCTTCTCAGTTCAATAGCCTGTATTCCTCCCTTCTCAGCTCCAACAGCCTGTATTCCTCCCCTTCTCAGCTCCAACAGCCTGTATTCCTCCCCTTCTCAGCTCCAACAGCCTGTATTCCTCCCCTTCTCAGTTCCAATAGCCTGTATTCCTCCCCTTCTCAGCTCCAACAGCCTGTATTCCTCCCCTTCTCAGCTCCAACAGCCTGTATTCCTCCCCTCTCAGCTCCAACAGCCTGTATTCCTCCCTTCTCGGCTCCAACAGCATGTATTCCTCCCTTCTCTCAGCTCCAACAGCATGTATTCCTCCCCTTCTCAGCTCCAACAGCCTGTATTCCTCCCCTTCTCAGCTCCAACAGCCTGTATTCCTCCCCTTCTCAGCTCCAACAGCCTGTATTCCTCCCCTTCTCAGCTCCAACAGCCTGTATTCCTCCCCTTCTCAGCTCCAACAGCCTGTATTCCTCCCTTCTCAGCTCCAACAGCCTGTATTCCTCCCCTCTCAGCTCCAACAGCCTGTATTCCTCCCCTTCTCAGCTCCAACAGCCTGTATTCCTCCCCTCCAGCTCCAACAGCCTCCTCCTTCTCAGCTCCAACAGCCTGTATTCCTCCCTTCTCAGCTCCAACAGCCTGTATTCCTCCCCTTCTCAGCTCCAACAGCCTGTATTCCTCCCCTTCCCCTCTCAGCTCCAACAGCCTGTATTCCTCCCCTTCTCAGCTCCAACAGCCTGTATTCCTCCCCTCTCAGCTTCCAACAGCCTGTATTCCTCCCCTTCTCAGCTCCAACAGCCTGTATTCCTCCCTCTCAGCTCCAACAGCCTGTATTCCTCCCCATCTCCAACAGTGTATTCTCCAACAGCCTGTATTCCTCCCCTCTCAGCTCCAACAGCCTGTATTCCTCCCCTTCTCAGCTCCAACAGCCTGTATTCCTCCCCTTCTCAGCTCCAACAGCCTGTATTCCTCCCCTCAGTTCCAACAGCATGTATTCCTCCCTTCTCAGCTCCAACAGCCTGTATTCCTCCTCTTCTCAGCTCCAACAGCCTGTATTCCTCCCCTTCTCAGCTCCAACAGCCTGTATTCCTCCCCTTCTCAGCTCCAACAGCCTGTATTCCTCCCCTTCTCAGCTCCAACAGCCTGTATTCCTCCCCTTCTCAGCTCCAACAGCCTGTATTCCTCCCCTTCTCAGCTCCAACAGCCTGTATTCCCTTCTCCCTTCTCCCTCTTCTCAGCTCCAACAGCCTGTATTCCTCCCTTCTCAGCTCCAACAGCCTGTATTCCTCCCTTCTCAGCTCCAAACAGCCTGTATTCCTCCCCTTTCTCAGCTCCAACAGCCTGTATTCCTCCCCTTCTCAGCTCCAACAGCCTGTATTCCTCCCCTTCTCAGCTCCAACAGCCTGTATTCCTCCCCTTCTCAGCTCCAACAGCCTGTATTCCTCCCCTTCTCAGCTCCAACAGCCTGTATTCCTCCCCTTCTCAGCTCCAACAGCCTGTATTCCTCCCCTTCTCAGCTCCATCAGCTTGTATTCCTCCCCTTCTCAGCTCCAACAGCCTGTATTCCTCCCCTTCTCAGCTCCAACAGCCTGTATTCATCCCCTTTTCAACTCCAACAGCCCATACTTCTCCGCTTCTCAGCTGCAAAGGCTTATATTCTTACCCTTCTTTGCTCCACCACCATATATTCTTCCCCATCTCAGTTCCAACAGCACATATCCCCCACCCTTCTCAGCTCCAACAGCCTATATTCCTCCCCTTCTCAGGTCAAACAGCTTATATTCCTCCCCTTGTCAGCTGAAGAGACTTCACGATTCCATTAGACCCGAGAATCATTCTTAGTTTGAAAACATCTTACACTCTTAATGCACGCACAAAATGGAAATTGTGCCAATTCTGAGTAGTTCTAGAAAATGCTTACCCTTTTAGCGAACACCTGGTGTCATTGTTGAGTTTCAGTGATCCATTGATTTGGTTTGCACCATTATTTTGTCTTAACGCCCAATATAATCATTTACGGTAGATATTTGAGACTATTCCCTGGCATTAACGTTTTATATCTTACGGTATTAAAGGAACTCTATGTTGGTCAGCAGTGGTTGTACAGACGGGTTGTAGATTAAGATTAAGATGAACTGAGGTGTGACGGCCTTTGATCAAGCCGCTATTCAATGCCTTGGCATATGATTTGTTATATAGGTTTTCATCGATGAGACATCGAGTGAGGAAACCAATATCCAATATGACAGAAATTACTTGATGGGTAATTTGGGGTTAAGGACGCTTTGAACAACGTTTCCAGTTCCACCACCGCTTCCTGTGAGTGGGAAGCCTGGTGCCTGTCATATTATATTACCACTTTGGAGAAGTCCACTCACAATGCTGTATGGCAAAAGGGATGATATGATTTCACCTTTAAATAGTCAACCTTCCTTTCATGTCGAGCAATATGCCAACAGCATCAGCCTTTGGTGTTTATATTTCACAACCATTGAGGTACAATCGAGCATGTTCTTTGTAACAAGATTTCAAAGAGCGCCATACGACCCTGCTCAGAAGATGTTCAATCAAGGTTACGATACTCACGGCTTCGGTACAGATTTCAAAAAGGGTTATGGTAGACATGTGGAGGAAATTTCAAAATGAGATGCGTCAGTGATAGAAATGTTTTCCGATGCAATTCCCTATTTCGACTTGATCGACACGTGTCAGATGTTTTGCAAGTGAGCAATTGACAATGCATTGCCCGTGTTTACGACGGGTGGAACAGGAGGCAACATTTATGGATGTCCACTTCTCTATTATGGGGAACACAAAGTTTCGGAGTATATCCTTACTCCTTCATCAGGTGAATGAATGGTATGAGACAGATAGCATATGTATGTGCATGTAAGAACAACAAAGACGCAGGCAAAACAATGGGGGGAGGCAATATACGCTCACCTGTTAGTTAACACTTCGCATAATCACTATATGCACTCATCATTCTTAAACACAATCATGCTCGTGATATACTCGGAATTGTACAATTGACTTTCCTTTTAGCAGATATTTCTAATTGATTTTGAAAGGGTTTTGCTCCTTTTATTTAATTCGTACTTTCCAAAGACAAAAGCTAGAGACATGTGACAAAACGGACATGGGCGGTATATAATAGTGACAACACAATGTGCTTCCCTGGTGCACCATGTCATCGTATCCCAATTGCGTAGATTGATGCTCATGATGTTGATCACTGGATTGTCTGTTCCAGACTCGATTATTTACCGACCGCAGCCTTATACCTGGAATTCTGCTGTAACCGGCGCTACACAACAACCAACCAATCATTTCAGCTCTTATTCAACTGAACTAATAAATATAGTTAATCAATTAAAAATGATATCAAGTACTCAGCGACTGAGTGAATACTTTGATTGACATTCTAGTAGTAAGGAGGACATTTTTTATAGATATGCAACCTCTTTATTCTGTATAGGCGACGTTGCTTGACAACGACATTAGAATCCATCCAATACAGAATAAAGCAGTTGTATATCCATAAAAATTGTCCTCAGTCGACTAAGTGGATGTTTGACGTTGCAGTCAGTGGTATACCAAATCTATCACAGCGACTTGTAAAGGTTCGAACCTGGATCAGACAAACCAATTACTTAAAACAAGGCGTCGATCGAAGCTCATGCTATCACTGTTTTGCCTGGAACAGATGCGGTTGTCTTCAAAACGTCATGATAGAGCTGGAGAGTGTCTGTCAACAGCGATAACAAAAATATCCCAATCATTAGAATACTCTCTCTTCCAACAGCCTTCTACGTTACAAGGTGATGAGGCAGCTTTAATTAGGGAGAACTGTCAAAAGTATCACAATTCATGATCAAATCAAATTTTAAAAGAATCCTGCCCCAAACAGGGGACATAACTCTACATAGCAATTGGAATGGTCTGAGACCACTGGGCCATTCATGTCACGTGATACAGGATCCAGTACACTTAAACTGTTATATAACACGAATGTACATGCTAATCTCCCGAGAATGATTAACAGGTCTGTGAGCACGTTCTCTAAATTCTCCTGTCCAAGTGTGCGCAACACGCCTTGCTAATCTCAAACCGGCCGGACTAAATGGCTTGTTTTGGCGGGTCTGTTTACGCTTTATAGATCCAGAGGAAGGTAATTGGACTTCGTTCTGTCCCTGGTTCGACCCTCATTACAGGCAGCTCCCGACACGACATGATCAGTGCGAGAGGAGACTCCGACATGACATGATCAATGCGAGTTGAGTGTGCGACAAGAGGTGACCTGAAGGACTAGAGCGATTGGGAGAAATTGCCAGTAGGGCTACAGGTCGATGGAACAGGTGTGAAACCTGTCTCACACCTTTACTGACACACCTGTTCATTTTTCATGTTACCTGTGAACCGAGAGGTTGTATAGTCCAGATGCGCAAGACACCTCTTAGACTTGGACACTGGTCTAAACTTCACTATATCACCTCTCCATATACACTGGGATAACAACTCAAGGTACGATATAAAACGACAGCTTTCTAGTTTCACTGAAAAATCAATATTCCATTTAATCGATATCGCCCATGTTGTCTGTTTATAGATTCCATCGTTACTGCGAAAATAACGGGAGAATATGTTGATGTCAATAAATATCCTTATTATGTGTATCACACTTTACTGAGAAAAGTTAACAAAGTGAGTTCTGTTGCTCACCTTGTCAAATTATGGATGAGTAGCATTTTATATGCTCAGCCTGGTGACCGCTGTAGCCGATGAATTCAAACATTCGTTTTTCTGCATCCGTAAATGTGGATGACATCGTAATCTTGGATAATTCGATACATTCCTTCGGTGATATGTTTAGTGTATCATGCTAATTCTTATCAGACGTCCACGAGAACGTGTGTTTCACAGTGTTAGAGGAGTTGTCCAGGGTGTAACTGAACGCCAGACAGCTGTCGCTAATGTCACGTTACAGATCCAGATTGGCCTTCGCTTAACTGAATCAATTATTTGTCAATATCTTACCGCAATCTTCTATTTGTATCGATATCTAATAATCAACAGAGGGGTTGGAGGGAGGGGGTGCTTCTATCATGCTGGACTCAATGTTGGATTTTATCTGTGATCGGAGACTCTGTGTATATGGTTAATATCAAATCATTAGTAAGAACTGATCATGTAGATACAGGTTTCGGGGGGTATATCAAATGTTCATTTATGTGCCGATAAGGATTCATAACTCAGTCCTGTTACCCCCCTCTTCCCCCTACCAAATCTCTACGTCATAAGATAGATAATGTGTGTCTCTGGCGCACGTTAGATAACTCATGGAAATATATAAGCTGTTTGCAACACTAAGTGGCTTATCAGGACTATTGAAAGGCCAGGCTCACAGGTAAATCTCTCATTTAATCAGCTTACAGAGAATTAGAATAAGAAGAGTGAGATTTATAGGTATATTACTCAACAAATGGTCGGGCTGTCCTATCAGGACGCGATACCATTAACTGATTTTGTTATATTTCCTCTGGTGCCAGAAATGATCCATTCCCTGAGAACCCCTGTGAAACATTGAGGGGTTTACAAATGACCACCGTATGCTGATTTATTATAATCGTCAGGTTGGTATATATAGAGAGACAGGCTAAACATAAATGTCATAGTATGATACTTGACATTCAGGTGCATATGTTGTCATAGAGAAGCTTTGCTTTACTGTCACGTGGAAGCGTATGTATAAATGGCACACATCAGTACGTACGCAGAATCTAGCACAGCAGTATATACTGACATGTCACAGCAAACGTGACTGTCGAATAGAGACGTATAAATAGAAGTCACACGCATGCATGTGCATGAATGTCACACAGGAGCATACACAACAACTGTCACACAGCAGGATACATACAACACCTGTCATACAACAGCATATACACAACTGTCATACAACAGCATATACACAACTGTCATACAACAGCATATACACAACTGTCACACAACAGCATATACACAACTGTCATACAACAGGATATACACAACTGTCACACAACAGCATATACACAACTGTCACACAACAATATACACAACTGTCACACAACAGGATGCATACAACAACTGTCACACAACAGGATGCATACAACAACTGTCAAACAACAGCATATACATAACTGTCATACAACATCCTATACACAACTGTCACACAACAGGATATGCACAACTGTCACACATCAGCATATACACAACTGTCACACAACAGCATATACATAACTGTCACACAACAGCATATACATAGCTGTCACACAACAACATATACATAACTGTCACACAATACACATCTGTCATATACACATCTGTCACAACAGCATATACATAACTGTCACACAACAGCATATACATAGCTGTCACACAACAACATATACATAACTGTCACACAACAGCATATACACATCTGTCACAACAGCATATACATAGCTGTCACACAACAACATATACATAACTGTCACACAACAGCATATACACATAACTGTCACACAACAGCATATACACAACTGTCACACAACAGCATATACACAACTGTCACACAACAGCATATACACAACAACAGCATATACACAGCTGTCACAACAGCATATACACAGCTGTCACAACAGCATATACACAGCATATACACATCTGTCACAACAGCATATACATAACTGTCACACAACAGCATATACACATCTGTCACAACAGCATATACATAACTGTCACACAACAGCATATACATAACTGTCACACAACAGCATATACATAACTGTCACACAACAGTATATACATAACTGTCACAACAGCATATACACATCTGTCACAACAGCATATACACATCTGTCACAACAGCATATACACATCTGTCACAACAGCATATACATAACTGTCACACAACAGCATACACACAACTGTCACACAACAGCATACACACAACTGTCACACAACAGCATATACATAACTGTCACACAACAGCATATACATAACTGTCACACAACAGCATATACATAACTGTCACACAACAGCATACACAACTGTCACACAACAGCATATACATAACTGTCACACAACAGCATATACACATCTGTCACAACAGCATATATACAACAGCTGTCACACAACATAACAGCTGTCACACAACAGCATATACACAACTGTCACACAACAGCATATACATACACAACAGCATATCACACTGTCACACAGCATATACATAACTGTCACACAACAGCATACACATAACTGTCACACAACAGCATATACATAACTGTCACACAACAGCATATACATAACTGTCACACAACAGCATATACATAACTGTCACACAGCAGGACATACACAACTGTCACACAACAGGATACATACAACAACTTCACACAACAGCATATACATAACTGTCACACAACAGCATATACATAACTGTCACACAGCAGGACATACACAACTGTCACACTACAGGATACATACAACAACTGTCACACAACAGCATATACACAGCTGTCACACAACAGCATATACATAACTGTCACACAACAGCATATACATAACTGTCACACAACAGCATATACATAACTGTCACACAACTGTCACACAGCAGGACATACACAACTGTCACACAACAGGATATATACATACAACTGTCACACAACAGCATATACATAACTGTCACACAACAGCATATACATAACTGTCACACAGCAGGACATACACAACTGTCACTCAACATATACATAGCTCTCACACAACAGCATATACATAACTGTCACACAGCAGGATATACACAGCTGTCACACAACAACATATACATAGCTGTCACACAACAGCATATACATAACCGTTGCACAACAGCATGTTCGACAACGTCACACAATAGCATATACACAAATGTCACACATCGGTATATACCAGTACATGAATAATTCTTTGTCTCTCCTCCACCCTCTCTTCTGTACCTACTTCCTCCCCTCCTCTCTATGTCCTCAACGTCCCCCCTCCCTATAAATGTAATTATCATTTCGACTTCAACAGCTTAGTCTTATCTGAATGTCAGACAAGCATTTTGTAAAACAGTGAAAGCCGTGTCGCCAACCTGAGCCCTCAAACACACTGGCGACAACTCACACAAGAGTCCCTCTGACCCAGTGCGTGCCCTGTGAGTTATTCAATCAAAGGTTCTCAGCCCGGCGGAACACAAAGAACTTCATATCAATCGGTGCTGTATTTGTTCGCTAAATTAATCTTTTGATATCACGACTGGGCCGTTTTACTGTAAGCCGCGCCGCATTGAGCTATCTGTTTCGCTAGAATGTCGGCAAGTAATAAAACTCCAATAACTTCCCTGGCAAAATATTTCTAAAGTAGGTTGTGTGTATATATGTATATGTACAAAGTCAGCGAGGTACAAAACATTGATTGGTTACCCCTGGATACTAGTGGTATTTTCTGCATGTCTGAGTATAGCAAAACTATCTGCCTGTCTGTCTGAGGGTAGGATAGGGCTGTCTGTCTGTCTGTCTGTCTGAGGGTAGTACATGACTGGCTATCTGCCTGTTTGTCTGAGGGTGGGACATGGCTGTCTGTCAGCCTGTTTGTCTGAGGGTGGGACATGGCTGTCTGTCTGTTTGTCTGAGGGTGGGACATGGCTGTCTGTCTGTCTGTCTGAGGGTGGTACATTACTGGCTATCTGCCTGTCTGTATGAGGATGGGACATGGCTGTCTGTCTGCCTGTTTGTCTGAGGGTGGGACATGGCTGTCTGTCTGTCTGTTTGTCTGAGGGTGGGACATGGCTGTCTATCTGCCTGTTTGTCTGAGGGTGGGACATGGCTGTCTGTCTGTCTGTCTGAGGGTGGGACATGGCTGTCTGTCTGCCTGTTTGTCTGAGGGTGGGACATGGCTGTCTGTCTGTCTGTTTGTCTGAGGATAGGACATGGCTGTCTGTCTGTTTGTCTGAGGGTGGGACATGGCTGTCTGTCTGCCTGTTTGTCTGAGGGTGGGACATGGCTGTCTGTCTGTCTGTTTGTCTGGGTTGGGACATGGCTGTCTATCTGCCTGTTTGTCTGAGGGTGGGACATGGCTGTCTGTCTATCTGTTTGTCTGAGGGTGGGACATGGCTGTCTGTCTATCTGTCTGTTTGTTGGAGGGTGGGACATGGCTGTCTGTCTATCTGTTTGTCTGAGGGTGGGACATGGCTGTCTGTCTATCTGTTTGTCTGACGGTAGGACATGGCTGTCTGTCTATCTGTCTGTTTGTCTGAGGGTGGGACATGACTGTCTGTCTATCTGTTTGTCTGAGGGTGGGACATGGCTGATTGTCTGTCTGTCTGTTTGTCTGAGGATGGGACATGACTGGCTATCTGCCTGTTTGTCTGAGGATGGAACATGGCTGTCTCTTTGCCTGTTTGTCTGAGGGTGGGACATGACTGGCTATCTGATGTCTGTGCTTGGAACATGACTGTCTGTCTGCCTTGAATACACAATGACCATTTAATGAGTGAGTGTGATTTTATGCCGCTTTTAGCAATATTCCAGCAATATCACGGCGGGAAACACCAGGAATGGGCTTTACATTGTACCCATGAGAAGAATCGAACCCGGGTCTTCAGAGTGACGAGCGGACGCATTAACCATAAGGCTACCCACCGCCCCACAATGCCATTTAGAAAGTGGTCAAATGTAACAGGTGAACTGGTAGTCTAGATCACGGACTCAGTGTGTCCCATGTATCCATATACAACAGTGGGCGCTTTGGTAGCCTAATGGGTAAAGCGTTCGCTCGCTGTGCTCCTAACCGGGTTTGATTCTCCATATATTTGTCAATTGTGTGAAGTGCCTTTTTGCGTCCCCATTTCTGTTATATTGTAACAACCCGTGAAGGTCCGGGTTAGAATTGATCTTCAGCAACCCATGCATGTCGTAAGAGGCGACTAGCAGGATCGGGTGGTCAGGCTCGCTGACTAGGTTGACACATGTCATCGTATCCATATTGCGTAGATCGACGCTCATGCTGTTGATCCCTGGATTGTCTGGTCCAGACTCGATTATTTACAGACGGCCGCCAATGTAGCTGGAATATTGCTGAGTGCGGCGAAGAGCTAAACTCACTCACTATATTGTAACAGCGACTTTAAAGCACAAAGTCATTCATTTACTCATTAAGATGTAATACTTAGCGCATATGATCTTGTATCGCGTGATACCTTGTTCGGTACAGCGCGCTAGCTCTACATGTTCTACAGCGGACATTTGTGAATTGTTGTGTGTGATCCCAGTGGTTGTTCTCCACACTGTGGCACTGATGAGGCATTGAGCTTGTCCGTCCACCCAGCACAAACACTGGCCTTCGCATCATTAGATACTGATCTGGGGATTAGTCAAGCATTGTTGTCTGTATTAGGTCCAGGTCAGAAGTCTCTACCAACAGCGGACCGTGTCTCTTCACCGCAACACCACCAAGTCCCATTCAACTCATTCTGCTGTCCTGTAATTATTGCCTCAAAACACTTTATACCACAAACCCTCACAAACAAGTGCCCCAAGTGGTCTCCGATACACCCGTCCGTGGTCTCCGATACGCCCACCTGTGGTCTCCGACACACCCCTCCATGGTCTCCGATACATCCACCCATGGTCTCCGATACGCTCACCTGTGGTCTCCGATACACCCCTCCATGGTCTCCGATACGCCCACCTGTGGTCTCCGATACACCTTTCCACGGTCTCCGATACATGCACCCATGGTCTTCCATACATCCACCCATGGTCTCCTATACGCCCATTCGTGGTCTCCGATTACCCACCCGTGGTCTCCGATACACCCCTCCATGGTCTCCCATACATGCACCCATGGTCTCCGATTACCCACCCGTGGTCTCCCATTACTCACCCATAATCTCCGATACACCCATCCATGGTCTCCTATTAACCAACCCATGGTATCCGATACACCCATCAGTGGTCTCTTATTACCCACCCATGGTCTCCGATCTACCATCCGTGGTCTTCGATTACCCACCCGTGGTCTCCGATACTCCCACCCATGGTCTCCGATACACCCACCCATGGTCTCCGATACACCCACCATGATCTGCAATACACCGAACCCTTTACTCTAAACCACACTGTCCGGACAGAGACAAGCCCAAGGAACGCCAACGCACACTTGAGTGATCGTTCCGCAGGTAAATCGAGCACCTGTTATACATAAATATAATAGCCTCTCCACGGGTGGTGGTGTAGACTGACACGGGCTGGAGGACCAGGAATCCAACTGCTTATAAAGGAATCAGTTGTAAGTCCAGGTAATCAGGCAGGGTGATATCGATACTCGCCTTGTTGACAATGCTCTACAACATGAACTGTTTGGGTCAATTCTCGCACAAACAATCTGGAGACAAGTGTTCCCGTATTCATGGATCGATATGATGCTGTTTGCGTGCAGTGGGATTGCCGGGATAAAACACAAGAAACATTTCTTGAGCTGCAATTAATCTAAATTGGAAATTCAATATTTTCAATAAAAGTCAATATTTTCAATAACACTATCTTAAAATATGTTTGCATTTGATTAATGTTTAATTTTTTATTTTCATTCAGGCTGATCTGGGCGCCCCTGCAGCATCTCTGTGTATCTTACAAAACCGTCACGATGACGTACCCACACTCGTCTAACTATGACGTCCGGCGTCAAGAACATGAACCAGCGTTCGGTGGAGAGGGGGGCTGTGTTGGTGCAGCGTCTCACGGGTTACCATGGTGATGGAAAAGACGTGACGAACCCCCGTGAGTTGTACACAATCTTGTCCCAAGCAGAGACAAAGAGGTACAAGGCGGGTGTCAACATTCCTCTGCTTGTCAATGAGTCCACGTTACAACAGAAAGTTAATCATGAAATGAACATACGTGTCAAGGGATATCGACCCGAGAAGAGACCAGAGTCGCCTCCCTTTCATCACCAGAGTTCTTTTGAGTTATTTGACTTTGCATCTGGAGAGTTGCCTACCTTGACATTAGTGAGACATTCATCCAGTCTTGAAGACCTCTCGACATTAAAACGACGCGACAATAAAAGGACAAATCTATCTTCTACAGATACATCTGAAAACCTTCCGGGTTTAAAGCACAAACATCCAAAGGTAGCATTCTGCGAAGATGTGAATGAGCTTGAGAATAAAGACCATAATTCGGGAATTGTCCTCCCTAAAATACCAAAGGTTCTTGAAAAGACATTACCCATAGCTCTAGCCGCAGCGAGTCCGGACCCTGAACAAGAACCAGAGAGTGAGGAGATAACTGTAGATCGCCGTCTCGTTGGTGTTCCTCCTGAACTTGTCAGCCGCGCTAGGCAGATACTTATGGAAGAGACATACAGGGAACAACTGCGGGCTCGTGTTCTGGGGCTCAACAGGAATCGGACCTTGTTTCCAAGGGAAACAGGCAAGTCGACTGATCTAAAGGCTTATGACATGTATCCTGCTCAGTACTGGGAGTTGAGAGCTGAAACAGTGCAGCAGCCTCAGGACCTGGAGTCGGATATGATAGATAGAGATTATTACAGGATGAAGCAGAAGTCGGTGTTGAAGCTGAAAGTGATGGACCGTGAATCACGAGCAAAGGGCGAGCGATCACCTTCAGACTCATCGTCACCTACTACTCAGCGAGACATACTTCGACCTCTGCCACGACTGTTTAACCCAAAGCCTAGACATAACCACATGGAATCATTTGAGGATGAAACAGTTGGCTTAAGTCCGTTTACCAACTTGATGCTGGGACCTGTTGTTGCGGAAGCTGCAGGCACGTGTCATCAGGACACGGACTCTGTGACAGGCCCTCCAAATTCCAGAAAGACCAATCGTCATATGTTCCCCTACCTTCTGTCCCAGGACCCATTGCCTGATAGCGTGACACGGTTTCCCAAATACACACAGGTCGTGAGTACCCCTCGACCAAGGTATATGCCTCCGACATCAGTCGTGAACCTGACTATAGACCACCCTACCCCACGCCGCCGTCGACCAAGACACATTGAAAAGAACCTGGAGAAGCAGAAACACTCCACCAAAGCAAGCGAAGTCACACCTTGTGGTAAAACTAATGTGTCTGATTCATTGGTAGGTAGGAGTGAAGCGCTACCAGGTAATGACACTGCACGAAATGTCGTTGATGATGTCATTCAAGAAGCCCCAGAGCCAGTGTCCCAAGAAGCTGAAGAACCGTACGATGACCCAAAGAACAAGATATCCCTGTTAACTGGCTTCAAGAAACTGGAGGTGTTCGGAGAAATTAAAAATGAGCCTCCTGAGAGGACCCAGAAAATTATCACAAAAGCGCCACCCCCAAGTCGATACTTGCCCCAATGTTACCCTCCCTTATACAAGCTGGACATGAAGAACTACCCACCCCAAGGGAACATGATCCAGGCGTTGCTTAATTTTGAAGGACACCAAGAAATCCACGGAGCGGACAACAACCCTATTTCGCTCAGCGTTATTGATGGTGATGCCATCCTGTCTAAAGTGCAAACCACTGGCGACCCACAGACCTCAAGGACGGTCAAGTCCGAAGGGGCCGTTGGACAGACGCCGATGCGAGACACCCCCGTATTGTCAAGCTCGTGATTACAATAGGGCATTGAACATTGTCTTCAACCATCTTCGAATAATGCTTGAGTGGTCAAGTTGAGATGTGTATCCCCCAATAAGCGAATATCCGCTGTGGTGAACTGAATTGTACGCGTCAGATTGAATCAGCTACATGATCCATTCTCCTGAGGACCCTTGGGACAATACCTGCGTTGCAGGTGGTACCATTATCCTAAAAGTATACTTACACCAACATAATATTGACAGATGTAACATCATAATGTAAACCTATAATTACAAATGCATACTCACGTTTCTTTGACGTATACAGTATTTGTGACTATTTCAATGCGAGGCCAGTATTTATAGTTATCATATTTTCCATTTCGGAGAAATATAGCGTACCTTTGAAGTATAATACCCGTACTTTTGTCATTTGCCACGGATGAATGGCAACCGTCATGTCTAAAGTGGACATTACATCATGACCATGGGATATAAATCGGGACAAGTTTTAATCCAGACATGTGTTTTGATCCAGACATTTCAAAGTGGACAGGGCATTTCCGGATTATGGTGATTTCCCTGCATGATTAATTGGATTGTGCATGGTATACCATGTACACCCGAAAAGACGATTTCCCAATAGATTGTGTGTAGGATGTGCTTCTAAATGCGTGTTTTGTGTCTAACTACGTGTGTCCAGTGTGTGTATAGTGTGTACAATTCAACATTGTCAGAGATGAGATTCAAGTGTGTTGTTTTGTCAAACTTTCCAAGATAGACAAAGGTTGTTTAACAAAACTTGTAAATATCGTTCTGAAGGATACTTTAAATTGATTCTCACTATATGAGTGAACAATAAAATGTTTCTGAAACTAACGCTATCCAATTATATTATAACACAACATGCGGGTAACGCTATATTGATCACGTGATCTGCCCGGGGATTTTCTGTGTGTCATTAAAACGGGTTTGCTAGTTTATTGGTTTCCTGTCACCTTTGTGATGAAGGAAAATGTAATCCATTAAAGAAAAGAAACTCTGGCAGCCAAACATGAGACTAAATACATGCATAAATATAACAGTTACCAGTTTGATAAGATATGGGAGGTTATAACGCATTACCTTACTTAATAAACAAGATTGACGAGATATCTGTACTCTAAGGCTGATCTCACGTCAGTACCCTATGTTGTGTGACAACAATAAAATACTTGCTTTATGTTACTGATAGTGTAGGTGAACAAGAAAATGATTGTTAAAGCGTCAGCTGTCGTACACAAAAAGTACTTTTGAACATTGATTTATTTGCGGCTGGGTGAAAATTGAGTATATATGCACCCTTTTATCTCTAAGTAAACATTTATAAAGTGCATTCGAATTGTCGTGGTGAAGTATACTCAAAGCTTAACATGATTTATAGTGTAGGAATTGTGTGGCAAAATTACAGACAGTAGCGAATATGAGACATCGAATGTCTTTTTTTCAGATAAGGACAAACTATATGGATGAACAAATTCTTTATTCTTTATTCATCTATAAAATTTGTTCTTGTGTGATTCACCAACTTCTATACATGCAACTCAAAGAAGTTATCTTTTTTCTCCTTTTTTACACTTTTAAGGGAAGGTCTCCGTGTACTGCAAAGAGGGGGCTGCGCGCGCGCACACACACACACACACACACACACACACACACACACACACACACACACACACACACACACACACTCACACTCACTCACTCACTCACTCACTCACAAACACACTCACACTCACAAACACACTGTTATGCACGCAAGCACATTCGCAACTTCGTATACATATCTATGTGTATATATTGCATCCCAACAACAATTACCGTTACTTCACTGTATAAAGTACTGTTTATGCCCAACATGTCCACAGCGATGCGACCACAGCAGAGACAAATGTCTCACACAGAGAATGTACAATTTAGGAAATCGCTGCATGGTTATGGTGGCTGATTAGGGCCATCGCTTTCTCGCCTTAAAATTCGGAGGTGAGGAAGCGAGAAAGCGATATCACGAGACGAGAAAGCGATATTAGGAGATGAGAAAGCGATAACACATACATGGTGCCTGGTAGCACGCCCACCAACTCCAAAATCACACTAAAGGGCCGGAAAATGTCCTGCATGTGAATAAAATGATTGGGAAATCAAAGTATTTTGATTCTACTTACAGAACCAGGGTTTTGCCTACAAAGTCACAGTTGACATATGATTGAGAACAAAAGCATGATGTCTTCATAACGTTTCGCAAATACCTTTTGGTGATGGAAATGGATAGAGATATTGTGTCGCCATTCTCTCTTGACATTAAGGATCACGAACCTCGAACGTGCCATCACAATGGTCAGTGTTATTTGTGTGACGTACTGGGATATCACAGAATGAGTGAGTGAGTGAGTGAGGGAGGGAGGGAGGGAGGGTGGTCTGCTCTTGACCTGTGACTGAAGAACTGAAAAACATATTTGGTCAGATTCTCACAACTAACAAGTTCAGGCTATTGTCCAGTCATAGCACAGCCATTTACAAAGAATAAAACTGTCTCAGCTCCACATTCTGTAAATCAATAAAACACTATATTCCAGCACTGTTGCACGAGGGATGTTGAAAATAAACATAAAAGGTATCTTAATATATACTCAGGGTGGCATAACCAAATACAGTAAAGTATTGACTACACATACTGTGCACACCTTCGCGACAAGGGAACACTGGGGCAACGTACTTCTTGTTGCAGATTGAAGAGGCGTTAGGAGTTTGTAAGATGTCATAAGATTAGCTTCGTGAAGCGTACCAACTGCGTTATTATTCGCCAATTCGATGAAATATTTTATGGCACCTCGAAATCTCTTTTATATGCCTGAAACACAACAGGGCCACAATGGATACAGACTGGCTGAATGTAGTGGACTTACTCTCACGTCAGAATCTAAACCATGAAGATATTGTGCCTAAACATGTAAATATTGCCATGTGTCGATTCCCAATTTGAAATTAATATTAACCTGGAAAGTACTTTCTGTAATAACCAACAAACACAAAAGCAATTTGACATAATTCACAACTGTAAAATTTTATTCCCAAATTAGCTATGTTTACAAATCATTACAAATCACTACAAAGCTATCACAGTGACAGCATAAATACAAAGGCTGTAGAATACAAGATTAGTGATTATAGCACGAGAGACAGAGATGGTATTCACCTCACCTCACCTCACCTCACCTCACCCCAGTAACCCATGCTTGTCGTAAGAGGCGACAAACGGGATCGGACGGTCATGGCTCGCTGGCTTGCAATTGGTTGACACATGTCATCGGTTCTAAGTTGTGCAGACGGATGCTCATGCTGTTGATCACTGGATTGTCTGGTCAAGACTCGATTATTTACAGACCGCCGCCATATAGCTGAAATATTGCTAAAAACTAAAAACGGCGTAAAACTAAACTCACTCACTCACTGTATGCCATTTGAACATCGTTACACATTGAATAACACTGCTACGTAACAACGTGAAGGATTTACTGCACTGAAAGAACCTTGAAGATCCGGGTTAGAATTCAGTTAGATCTTCAGCAACCCATGCTTGTCGTAAAAAGGCGACTAACGGGATCGGCTGGTCAGGCTCGCTGACTTGGTTGACACATGTCATCGTATCAAATTGCGTAGATTGATGCTCATGGAGTTGATGACTTGGCTGTTTTGTATTGATAGACCATCGCCATGTAGCTGGAATATTGCTGAGTGCGGCGTAAATCTAAACTCACTCACTTCATTGAAAACACATTAATGGGTACAACAAGGACTGGTCGGCTCGGAGTCAGTATAATGCGTCTGAGTGGGGTATTCATGCTTCACTGCGGCATGATATCTCAGTGGGCTAGCACTATAAAACCAGCTTCAGTCTGGGCTAGTACAAGCAGCCGCACATACACATACACACGCATGCACGCATGTCATATGAGCGAAATATTCTCAAGCACGACGTTAAACCCAATTTCACCTCACCTCACCTCACCTCACCTTCCCTCATTGAAAACAGAAACCATGCCCTTAATATGCAAACACGACTTAAAGAAGCGGTCAGTCAATCTCTACTACACCTCGAACATAAGGAACCTTTAATAACAGTCGTGTGTTTACACTACTTTTAGATCATACAATATCCCTATGCTACACCGCGTCACATCACACAACGTCACGTCACAGTGAATTGATTCACTGCTGATATGCACTTACACTATGGTGTATCGTATTATTCCCCTAGTCACTAGATTTCTTTTCTCAGCTCCTTGGGAAACATACAGTTTAGAAGGTGAACGGTCCTGTTACCATCCCCACCTACCAGGAACCCTATTACTCCTTGATTAACAGAGGCTTATTTCAGACGAAGTCATCTGTCCATAAAAAAACCCACGTCATCCATGGTCACCTGTGCAGCCTTTCTCTCTTTAACCTCATGACCTATGCCTGTACACAGAGCCATGAGCCACAGGTTCCGCTGGACAACTCTCGCAGCTGCATGTATGCTAATTGGTTATACCTACTTGGGTTGTCAGTCAAGACGTGATGAGGTAATTTTACGACGATGTCGTAATGGCCACAGTCAGTTTACCCATGACTATCTGCTGAAAACGGATGGGGATGGACCCCCCATGTGTGTCTCTTGCGATGAGATTTTCACCATCAAGTATTTTCTGCTTGACTGCGTGGAGTTGATACTCACTCACTCACTCGGTGATTGACCTGAAAAGGTCATATGGGAAATACAGTATATACCTGTAGCATCAGCTACATAATATGGCACGCCCATACGCAAACAACGTCTTGATGATGTCAGTGACACACTTTTATCGACATCGAAATGGTTGCATTCCTGGTTCCCGTAGAGCCGCCTATTGACAGTCGTTCCCATAGTATTCCATTAATACCACGACATGCCAGATGTATGTGGAGCATGCCCGAATAGATACCGATCTTAGACATTTAACACTTTAGTGAATTTCCTGACAAATAAGACAAATATAAATGGGGCGAGTCGGGATTCTAACCCGCGATCACAGGTTTCTGGTACGCCTCAAGCAAGCAAATCCACAGTGAATTGTTGCGTCAATGACGTCAGACAAATTGGTTTACTCTGCCAAAACCGTTTCTTTGATTCTCCATGCAGAACATATGCTAATTAATAATGATGTCTTGTACATGTATGCGCACTCAATGCAACTACATTCCAACAACTCATTCCAACATGTGAGGGGCGGTGGGGTAGCCTAGTGGTTAAAGCGTTGGCTCGTCACGCTGAAGACCCGGGTTCGAATCCCCACATGGGTACAATGTGTGAAGCTCATTTCTGGTGTCCCCCGTCGTGATGTTGCTGGAATATTGCTAAAAGCGGCGTAAAACCAAACTCAGTCAGTCAGTCAGTCCAACATGTGAATATATTCTATTGACGTGTTTTTCCAGCGTACGACGTTTTTCAGTACGGAGTCGAGCTTTACAGAGTGAATGTCATTACGTTCATACATACCTGTGAAGGTTCATGTCAATTAAAAACAATGTTCCCTATATGTCGATCAGTTTCCTCCTTCCTGAGCAGTTGATCAATTCAGAGTGGAGTGTATATATTATGTATGGACATGCGTCATACCTAGCATGTCAATGTCGATAGTGGGTACCCAATCATGCGGACCACAGCCCTTTGTCAACATAACGTGAAATATACATAGCATTAATCTAAACATGTAGAACCTTTTCAACCCTGGGCGACCTAACATGCAAGTTAACTATACGCACTGTCTCGCTAGTAGTCTCAAGGTACAGATTGTTATTTTACTATTATTGTTGTTCAGTCTTATTATGGTGGCAGCTGTTGTTAGTGGTGTAATTATTGCTGCCGTTGCTTCTTCTATTGTAACATATGTTATATTTCGGATTTTCTTAGTAAAGTACAAATTCTAGTGCTTTTGGGGTTGAGTCCCATCCGTGATTCGAACCCACACCCTCAGAGTCAGGCACCAAACCGTCAGCACACAAAGTCAGCCGCCTAATCCGCTCAGCCACAGCGACTTCCACAAAAATGGAAGCTGGACATCTGGTAGTCTAGACTACGGACTTTGTGTACCCCTTTGCTAAGTGTAAATTGGCACGGCTCCCGCGGCCGAAAGCAATGATTACACAATCGGATGGGACTCAACCCCCCAAAAGGGCTAGAATTTGTACTTTACTAAGAAAGTGTAATCGCAAATATAACATATGGTACGTTTGACCACATTGTGTAATCATGCTTCTCCTTTCTCCGTTTTGTTGCTGTTATATTGCGGATAGTGTGACTCTTCTTGTTTCCCCCGTTATGAGGGTGCTGTTGCGTTGCGTGTTGCTTGTTTCGTTGCTAATGTTGCAGCTTCAGGAGTGTTACTAAACGCTGCAGATTCCCTTCTTATGATACACTATGTAGAATATGAAACGAACGACAAAACTACACACTGATGATGGTGCAACTTCTTTTCGCTGTTGTACAGCGCTGTTTGCGTTGCTGGTGATGCAGCTGGAATTATGAAATATGAAATATTGTTGTTGTTGTTCAGCCTTATTCCTGATCTTGAGGGATTAGTTCGTGTTGTCGCTGTTGCTGCTGTCGCATTGTTACATGTTTCAGCTGCTGGTGCTGCATGTTCTTCTGGTATTTGTGCTCTCTTGTAATTTTTTCAACGGCTATTGCTGCTGAGCTGAAGTTCCATTGTACTGGGGCTTGTAAATGTCAGTTTAGGGCTTATTGCAGGGCTTCTTGGAGGTCTAGGGATTAATTCTTGCAGGTTCTTCTTGTCCTTCTGGGCCCTGGTATCACAAGCACCGGTCTTTGTAAGCATAACGTGAAATGTTTCCAGTCCTGAAAACGACAACAATTACGACGACGACGACGACGACGACGACGATGATGATGATGATGATGATGATGATGATGATGACATCGAAGGTGATGGTGATGGTGATTGTACTGCTGCTCCTGGTTTGAACGATTAATCTATGTCCAGATTATTGTGTGTTCTTAATCTGCACATAAGTGGCAGACAAGGGACAGTATTTATTCTCGTTCTGGAGTTATTATACGGATGCTTACAGTGAGGAGAATGTGAAGGTTATATGATGCACTTGACACAGTTTGCAACCACGGAGCAATTCGTGCCCACTCCCAATCTGCTTGAAGAGTTGGTATGGCAGAACGGGAGATAGTGCATGAACTAAAGCAATAATTTATAAGCATGACAACACACTTAAACGAGAGGCTATATTGGTACAATTAATAAACAGCATAATATATCATTACATGCGCACATAGGTGATGTAGTCCTTTTTTAAGCAATATGTTTTACGAAGGGGGTCACTGGGAAAGACAGCACTAGGCTTGGGGCGGTTGAAGACGTTTGTTTTGCGATGATCAATTTTATATCAAATACTAAACGCGTTCTCCGCAGGGTAGGACATAAATACCTGCAGTTCCTGGCATGCTTCTCTGTTGCCTCAAACAGCAATGTGATGTTGCTTTCTTTACTGAGTACAGCAGCATTGTACAGCTGGTGATACATCAAGATCATGTCGCATCATCGCCATTGAAAGCATCACTATTGCATCACTATTACACGTGAAACAGTGACTAAATTCATAAAATAAATATAACTTCGTAAGGCACGTCAATCAGCAAGGTGACGTCAATTCATCGTCACTAAATACAGAAAACATATAACTCCATAAGGCACGTCAATCAGCAAGGTGACGTCAATTCATCGGCACTAGATAACAACAATATAGCACCATAAGGCACGTCAATCAGCAAGGTAACGTCAATTCATCGTCACTAAATACAGCAACAATATAACTCCATAAGGCACGTCAATCAGCAAGGTGGCGTCAATTCATCGTCACTGAATCACAACAATTCATCGTCAATCAGTAGATACCATCGTCACTAGATACAACAATATAGCACCATAAGGCACGTCAAACAGCAAGGTGACGTCAATTCATCGTCACTAAATACAGAAAACATATAACTCCATAAGGCACGTCAATCAGCAAGGTGGCGTCACTTCATCGTCACTAGATACAACAATATAGCACCATAAGGCACGTCAAACAGTAAGGTGACGTCAATCCATCGTCTTCGACTACATCAACAATGTAATGCCATAAGGCATGTCAAACAGCACGGTGACGTCAATTCATTGTCACGAAATACAGCAACAACATAACTCCATATGGCACGTCAAACAGCAAGGTGACATCAATTCATCGTCATGGTCTACATCAAGCTATGTTTCATGTATGAAGGCTGTGCCGTCCTTTGATCTGTTATTGGTCAATGTAGCAAGAATAAAAAATAAAATGAATGAACACCTGTGGCTTATGGTTGTTGAGGATCGAACCCAGGTCTTCGGCGTAGCGAGTATACTCCTTATCCACTGAACCACCCGAACTGTCCCTTAATATATGGGATAAACGAATAGTAAACACTGGTCATCCAATATGTCAACGCCCAGAAACTGAATACGTCCACAAATATCTTCGAGATTTATACAAATATCTTCAATCTCAATTGTACAGGGACTTATTAGCGTTGCCTATCAAATTAAATGTCAAGGTCGTCAGCCATTTATTACCGTCACCGCCATCTGGCCGCTGACAGGTCAAGTCAACAGTCACTTGACAGGTCGCCAGGTCCGTTTAAAGCACCTGGCAAGTACGTCCTGGATACATACACGTTTTGCCAAAACAATATTTATAAGTAATGTACCCCAATATACCCGTCAGTAGCCTAAACACCCATAATTACCCCGTATACCGCCACCCAGGTCCCACAATTCTCCAACATTATAGCTCAAACATATCAGAATGGCATTTACACAGAACATTTATAGCTTTCGGCCATGTCAGGAAAGATTAACGCGCTCGCCAAAGCAAATTCACTAATTTCTTTTACCGTAAATAATTGCTCACTGGCAAAAGAATCGGCACAGCCGCGTGTTTGTTTGGGTTTAAAGATACCGCGCGCAGAGTGGCTGAAGTGAGACCTTCACTCAAGTCAAGCCGGGAAGTCGTCTGCTCAAGTGGAATAAATCTCTATGAGGAGCAGACGACAGGTTGAACACTCAATCCGGTGTGAACGAGGCTCTGACAGCGAGGAGACTCCGTCTGTTGGGATATATTCTAGATCAACGTAGACCCGTGACCTATTGGCTTTCCCGCAACGTGATTAAAGAGCACATGGCTGTGAGAGCAGCATGAGATGAAGGAAGTCAGTGTTTCATCATCTCACACAAATTGTCCTTGAAGTTCTTGGACACCCACCTGTATCGCAATCCATTGAGGTCTCACAACTCATCAAGTATACAGGTAAGTACTGAGCTTTCAAACGCTCGTTGGTAATATGTTAGATATGCATGTATACGTTCATACAGAGGAAATAGACTTATCACAATTAGAATATCTTGCTTATATACCTCCTGTTATCTTTATATCACAGAAATATTTATTTCAATATCTAAGAGCATGTATGTACCTTGTTATAGAAATACGGCTTTGTTTCAACATTACTAAGAGTAAAGAACATGATTTACCATACATTTCCTATAGTTCGATATTACCTTCGATATGAACAGGTAACTACGGTTGTAACGACCTCAAAGGGACCATTCATTTTAGTTCGTTATAACCGTTGTTTGCTATATGCATTATCTGTCAGTTGGTTTAAAGCGTGTTCGTTATAAACGTACTTCACTCTGTAAAGTAAGAGTGACATTACTATAAGAACCTACCAATGATCTAGGAATAGATTCGAGCTTGTCATAGTATTATGGGATCGGGTTCCTTTCATTCCATAAAGATTCTCAGTTTATCCAAATAAGTACGTGTGCTTTATATTACAATTAAGTCAATCTTCGGTTTACTTTGTATATTATTAAATATATTCATTGTACGCTGTGAAAATAATACAACACCGATTTTATTTCAAGAATAGTGTACTTTCTAATTGATGGTTTATGACATTTGAAAAAAAGTATTTAAAAAGAAAGTACATTATTTTAAAGAAATTTGTGTCAATTAAATACGTTGTAAATAAATGAAAGGGAAAAAATCCAAATTAATTTGTGTTTTAAATCTTTAATAACAATATTAATTTGTAATGTTTATTTTAAAAAGAAATGTCTCCGGGTCCAACAATGGCGTGTTGTTAATACGTAACTCAGCATACTGAACAATTAATATTGATTAAAGCTTTGTCAGTAACAGATCGTCCACTCGATACATACTGACGGTAGTTTGTTATTTTGTATTGTGTTCCTATAATATGCTCTACAGCATGCCATCGATTGCCCCGCAACCCAGCATGTACTGATCACCCCCGCTTACTATTGACGGCGATGTCAACAGGGTATTGACGGGGCAGGAGTAGTCGTCAAGTACCCCGGGTAGACAATTCCTAGAGTCGAGAGGGTGGAAGTTGCCGACCCTTTAGTAATGCATTCCATTTGTCCTAGTGAGCTGCCGCCACTAGACCTATAGTATACTTATCTTATACAAACACAGAGTGTAAATATATCACTGCTGGTACTTCGTAGCGCAATGCATTCATGGTCTTAGATTTACCGATCTGGATTACAGCGTTGGTAGTCGGTGACCCATGTCTTCGCCGTATGCACGATCATGGACCAGAGAAGTGTGTGTGTGTGTGTGTGTGTGTGTACAAAGCGGGCCTCGGGAGTGTGGTTACCGATGACATAAAATGCGACACGGAATAAAAATAGAGCATTCCTTTTTGATAAGTCTTTGTGACCTACAAATGACAACATGCTCAACAAGAAATGATATGTTTGAAAGATGAGAATTGTACAGTATAATAATTTGGAATTAACACCAAGGACCATGTGCACAAAGCGTTCTTAACTACATGTACACGACATCTGATAATACAGTGATCTGTTATCATGCGTCACACTCATGCCCATCTACAAATGACAGCATGCACAACAACTAAAATATATTTCTAAAATATATGGAATGTGACTACGGTACTTTGGAATCCAGACCAAGGACTGTATGCACAAACACTCCTCAATTACGTGTCTGATAACACTGTGGTATAATCTAAATTGTCAAACAACTTGAACCGTCGTTATACGTGACGTCAGATATGACGTCAGGTCTGTCAGCTGGAGAGGAGACCTCAAACTCATAATCATATCCTAAATCCAAATTGGGGCGGTGGGGTAGCCTAGTGGTTAAAACGTTGGCTCGTCACGCCGAAGACCTGGGTTCGAATCCCCACATGGGTACAATGTGTGGAGCCCATTCCTGGTGTTCCCCGCCGTGGTGTTGCTGGAATATTGCTAAAAGCGGCGTAAAACCAAACTCAGTCAGTCAGTCAGTCATTCCAAATTGAATACACTCGGCACTTTACGCGAAAGCAGTTCTGTTATAAACTGTAGCAGTACAAAAATACGCAGGGCCTATATCCGAATACATAAGCCTTTATATTGAATCAGTGGTCAACGCCCTTTAAATGGCCTATACCTGAATAGTATCCGTCTAGCAAAGTAAATATACTTGTCTATACCTGTATGTTACAATGCCTTCCATTGCATAAAACCACATTAACTGCTTTGTATATAAAACACGTACTGAATCTATACCTGGAAACTTTGATGTGCTGTGGCATATATATCAGGCTTATGCCTGAATGGTTATCATGGTACCGTTGCACAAAGCGACCTTAGCGCTACGCTAAGGTATGGGAGTTACCTTAGCGCTAAGATTGCTTTGTACAACGGCACCCTGCACCGTAACGCATATACGGCGCCTGTATCTTTAAAGTGGCATATACACAGGGGCATATATACCGGAACGATATTAGTTACTATGGTATGACCTGCTCTTACACCACGCCCAAACCAAAACAAGGGACTGAATAAAGATACACATACGGGTCCTATTCTTGAATGATGTACTAATTAACATATATATAGTATGACCAGAAATTATTGATAATTTTAGGAATATGTTTAATTGGATTTCTAGTATAAACAACCTTGACCAGCTATCAAGTGCTTGGTTTCATTCAAGAGCGACAACTCCGTTAATCCTTTTTCATTAGTTTGTGAAGAGTTATCCCCCTTTGTTTACTTGCTAGCAGACGACATTTTCAGTGATCCTCAGTATGGATGATTTAGAGAAGAGGAAGTTGATTTTAGAGTATTATAACAAGGACATCAGATCAGCTAAAGTGATTTCTAGTAGAACAGGCATCCCTTTGTCCACTGTTTATCGTGTTTTAAAAAATATTTCAAATGGATATGGCATTTAGCACCAGGGAGGCGCAGGGCAGGTAGGCCCAGAAAATTGACTGTCGGTGACAGGAGGCGGCTTGGTATTCTTGTTTCTAAAAGCAAACGAAGGAGTTTAGAAAACTTAAGGCTGGATAAGATTGATAGAGGAACTGTGGCTGTCTGTAAGGAGACAATTAGAACTGAGCTGCATGCAATGGGTTGGCAGAAAAGTCGAGGAATTGCATCACCGATCATGAAACCTGAACAAAAGGAGCAAAGGTTGAACTGGTGCTTAGAGCATAGAAATTTTAACTGGGACAGTGTGATTTTCTCAGATGAAAGTTCTGTGTGGCTGTTTCCTAATACACTGAAATTCTGGACCAAACAAACTGAAAAACCTTTGTATCAGCGCCCAAAGTACAGTCCGAATTTTAACGTGTGGGGTGGCATATCTGTGTTAGGGGCAACGCCCTCTCTGTATATTGAAGGGAATATGAACAGAGTGAGCGGTACATTGATATTCTCGAGGGACATTTACTTCCATCTGCTCACGTGTCCTATTGAAATGTTTGGATTTTCCAGCAAGACAACGACCCAAAACATCGTTCAAAGCATTCACAGGCCTGGTTTCGGACCCAAAATATGACATTATTAGATTGGCCAAGCTATAGCCCTGACCTAAATCCAATAGAAAATGTTTGGGGACTTATGAAGGAAAGTGTCAATAAGAAAAATCTGACAAATATTGCTGAAATGAAGGAAGAGGTGGTCCGGTATTGGGACAGCATGGACCACGACTTTCTAACTTCTTTGATCAGTAGTAGTATGCCCCGCTGCATTGAAGCCTGCATTGCTGCCCATGGTGACTTGACAAAATACTAACTGTTCACCTGTCTTTGAATCTGGAGTTATGTTCTGCTAATATTCACATTTAAAACGTGAGTAATGAGTGAAAAAAAATAAATTACAATCATTAAATTCTCAATAATTTCAGGTTGTACCATAACATTTCCCTGCACTATAGCACATACGCATGGCATATACCTGATCAATGCCTTGCACTTTTGCAATGCACTAAACCTACTCGAAAATGTGCTTCACACACAATCATCAACTCTGATAACACTGCGTGTATTTACACACCTCTCAACGCAAAACAAATTGACTTCAATTATGTCTCTGATTACGTTACCGGGGCAGAGGTCGCCTCCTGTGACTGTAAACAACTAGACAGTCACTTGCACAACACACTATCTTGACAGTATGACGGAGGATCGGCACACTCGCCCCACAAGACTAACTGTATGTCATGCATTATCTGATGACGAGTCCGACTACCCAAAATAAAGCCTCAAATTACATTTCCAGTCTTATCTTACCACCAAATTTCTCAGGAAATATCAGTAAACTAGACCTTTAAACTAGACCAGAAACGTTCGTAGCCCTAAGAACTCTTAACTTTGATCGTAGCTAATGGGTTAAGAATGGGCTTAAGAAGTTCGTCGGGCTACGAACGTTTCGAGAATAGCTGGCCAGTACACAAATGAGTGCATCATTTCTTCTTTAAATCTATTCCAGTAACCTATTTATTTCTTTATAAATATTGGTAAAAATTCGGTGAAGTCTCCAAAACTATAGCAAATCTAGATTTCGTTAGTTTTAGGAAAATGTATTTTCTGTTTATTCGGGGTATTTTGCAAATTTACATGTTCTCTAGTTCACAGTGTATAAATATATTCATGTTTCAAAGATAACGGGCTAGCCATACTCTCCAAATCCACTGACTTCATGGTTTTAACGATTTAATCCTTCCATCTTCTTTTTCATTTACCAGTTACTTGTCCAAAAACTGCCAACCAACATTTATACATAGGCGCTCTTAATTCTTATTAATTCGGTTAGCCATCTTCTTTTTGGCATTTCAGCAGAAGACCCGGTCTGAAAACATGGCCACATTGCTACATTTATACCCCGCCGTGATATTGCTGGAATATTGCTAAAAGCGGCGTAAAACCAAACTTACTCACTCACTCACTCACTCTTAGTTAATGGCTATTAATGTGCCCATCT